ATTCACCACGTGAGCATGCGATGTTGCCGCCAGGGCGAGCGCGCGGTGCTGGGGGGCAAGTTGGCGCAGCAGGCTCATCATTTCCCTGCAGCGATGGCCGGCTGGATGGCCCGCCTGATCGCCTACCAGGGGATGTCGGGCGACATCGAGGAGATCCGCGCTGCGGAAGATGTTCATTCAAGCGCGTCGATGGCATTGAGTGCAGCGATGTGATGCAGGCGCTGATGAAGAAGTTCGTTGCGTCGACGTTTCGGGTGGTGAAGCGAGCTCGTGTCAGCCGAGGCCGTTCGTCCAGCGCTGCTCTGGTCGCGGCCATGCAGCGCGCGGGTGCGCCAGCGGATTGGGGCCAGTGTGCGGGGTCCTTCCAGTGCGAGATCTGCCCGAGTAGACAGCGCCCTCGAACGGTTCGGGTGGTCGTGCTGCCCATGGCGAAGCGCTTCAACAAGGTGGTTTGCGCCGACGTCCACTTCGTCGCCTGGAAGGGCATGCAGCGGAAGAGTTTGGCCATCATGGGAGTTGAGTTGGTCCGATGTGAGACGGACTATCCGATCGAGAAGGAGACGCTTGAGAAAGCGGCGAGGTTGTGGCGTGAGGTTTGGATTGGCTGGGCCAGCAGGCCCGAGGCGATGAGGATGGATTGTGGTGGTCCTCGCGAATCGTGGAAGGTGCGTGATTGGATGGTCAGGCATGACATCGCCATCGACCTGGCCCCGAAGGGCGCGCGCCGCGGGCTCGGGCCGATAGGGTGCGATCATGCCGTTCGGCGGGGGGGGCCGAGCAAGCGTCGCGCGCAGTTCCCCGACGACTCGAACAAGACCGCCCTCGGCAGTCGGCGGAGCGCCCTGAGGAATGCGCACGGGTTCTCACCATCGACGCAGATTCTCGACACCTCGGCCCAAGATCCCAAGTGCCTTCTTTAGCGATGGGGGCTGCGGATTGGCTGAGCAGTCTGCTCTGACCGACCCGAAGAGCGAGGTGCACGAGTTGATTGTCAGGCGCGTGGTCGCTGGGGCGGCCGCCAGTGAGGCCAACTGTTCGCGCGCTGTGCGAGCCGCTCTGCTGGCGCGCAGCAGGCCGGCGCGACGCGTGCGAGATCGGCGAGTGGGTATATCTGCTGGTGCCTTCAGACGTCTGTAGGCTTGGAGAAGCGCCATTGGCATGGCCCGGTGCTGGTGGTGGCCGTGGAGGCGTAGATCGACGAGGCCGAGGTGGCGCGCGCCTCGGTGGTCTGGGCCACCCACGGCCGCGCGATCTACAGGCGCACCTCGGATCAGCTGCGACCCGAGTTGCCGGGCGAGGCACGCGGGCGCGAGGCTCGCGCGGCGGGCCCCCGGATGTCCAACGGCCCCCATCGACGCCGCCGAGAAGCTATGGCGCGCGCTCGCGCGGGCGAGGGGTGCCTGCGAGTGGTCGGGCGCCGCCCAGCGCTGGCGCCGTGGGCGACGTGGGGGATGCGACTGCGCCTCGGGCGCAGGCTCCGATGAAGGAGAACGCTCGACATGGCCCGTCGGGGGAGGCTGCGGCGGCTCCGCCCGAAGCCGCCGAGTCGGCACCTGCCGGCGTGGAGACGGCCGCGGGGGATCCGGCAGCACGGCCGAGCAAGCCAAACCAGCCGCCAGACGAAACAAGCAGGATCAACATCGAGACGATGGCTAAAAGGAGCATCGAGGAGGCCCCAGAGCTGGGCGGCGGCGCCCCGCTGGCCAAGCGCGCCCGCGTGACCTTGGCGAAGCGCGCCCCGCAGGACGAGCAGGCCATGATCGCCGAGGAGCTGTGTGGCGAGATGTTGCTGCTGGCGGGGTGGGGGGTCTTTGGAGATTATGCGTGCTGGCAGTTCAGAGCGAGGCCCCCGCCGTAGTCCAGGTCCGGCTCGCCCCCGACGAGAAGCGCCTGTTCTACGAGGCCAACCAAGGTGGAGGGCTTTGAGGTCTTCAACAGCAGCGGTGGCTGGGGGCCCATTAATGAGGAGGACGTTGACCCGGCATCCTGTTGCCCCTTGCGAGTCTTGCTGAAGTGGAAGATGAAGGATGGGCAGAAGGCGGTCAACGCGCGCGTGCTGCATCAGGGCATCAAGCGCCGCGACGTCGTCGAGGGCCAGCTCGGCATGGAGGCGAGGGCCCTAAGCGGGCTGGGCCTGCGCGCAGTCGCGCTGTGGGCGTCCTTGGGGAAGTGGAGCAGGTTCGTCGCGGACGTGAAGTCCGCGTTCTTGCAGGCGAAGGGCGCGAGCGCGCGCGGCCTCAAACTGCGCGCCGGCCCGACCAAGGGGATGCGCGGCACGCTGGCGCGCCAGATTGGCCTGCAGCCGGGGCAGCAAACTGAAGATGAAGCCATGTTTTTTGAGGGCGCTCGGGTGCCCGAGCTCCGGCGCCGCCGCTCCGACGAGGTCCTTAAGGTTATCGGGTTCAGAACCGCTGGCTCGAGGACTGCCTGCTGCCGCCTCTGCGCCGGGCGACGGTCAGCCACGACCCGTTCGACGCGCGCAGATTCGAGGGCCAGTCCCGCGTGGTGGGCGGCCTGATCGGCATGCGCGGGGGCGATTTCATCGGGTGCGGCGAGGGGGTCAACGGCGAGGGGGGCCCCTGCGCGAAGTTCGACGATCCCCCGAGCGTTTCCAAGCGCGGCTGGGCGCACCAAATGAGCAGTTTAAGTTTGGGCAATGGGGTTCGGGCCGTGTTTGATCTTCGCGGGGGGCGAAATTGAGTAGTCCCTGAGCACCTGCGCGGCGGCGTTAACGTCTAGAGGTGCCTGCAAGTGGTGAAGCCAACCACCGTCGAGAAGCATTGGAGGGTTGATTTTGCCAGTGCGTTGACGCCGAGGAGTTGATTGGCTTCTGGACCTTGAATTGACAGCTGCAGCGGCCCGCAGCTCAAGGAGTGACCATGGCGGTGGCCGCCGCGTCTTTGTGTGCCGCGGCCGCGGGGCGTGTGGCCGTTCAGGACTTGCTGGGCGACAGCGATGACGTGCGGCCCTTGAAGGCAGTTTCCGTCGCGGGGCTCTACCTCGGATTCGCCGGGCCGCGGTGCGGCCTGCGTGTTGGGGGCTAATTGGGCGCGAGTCGGGCCAGCCGACCCGGCGGGAGCTCGCGGCGCGTTTGCCGGATCTTCGCGGAGCCCGTCGAGGAGGTCGACGCAGGCGCGCCGACGCTGTTCGTGGCCTTGGAGTGGGCTTTGAAGACGCTGCAGCGGCTTTGCAGGAACTGGCTGTCCGCGGAGTCGCAGGCCGCCGCGCTCGGCGCGGGCGTCCTGATGCGGTTGAAGGTCTACATCTCGAAGAGCTTGCGGCCCGATCTCAACGGGGACGAGGCCATGGAGCACCTCGGCGAGTCGCCATTCATCGCAGACGCGAAGTGCCTCTGCGGCGCTTCGAGGTCGGTTGCAGCCAGCGTGGGTGTCGAGGAGGATCGCGCGGCGATCGGTGTCAAGATCTTGAGCGAGCGCGTGGTTGATGTCGGCGTGGTATGGGAGTGGGTGAATGCCCAACAGCAGATGGCGGACGGACTGACCGTGCTCTCTGCCCGCCGGATGATGGTCGACGTGCTGCGCCGAGGAGTGCGCGCTTTGCACTCCGCTCCCGAGTTTGCGGCCGGCAAGAAGCCGTCCAAGCGCGCGGGGGAGCAGCGCGATGGGGCCGTCGGCGAGCTGCAGGGGGGTTTCGAGGCAAGCCCGAAGGCCAAGCAGCGAAGGGGTCGGCACCGTGGAGGTCGTGGGCGACGTGTTGCAGCGACAACCGTGGCAGCAGCGGCATCGAGCGCAGCGGGCGTCAACTGTGTGATGCCGACGCCCAGTGGCGTTGCAGGCGGTCGGCTCACATGCCGCGACGACTATTACCACTACTGCTACGACAGCCAGGAGAGTGCCGAGTGCTACCTGACGTGGGCCAGGACCATTTTCGCGGCGGCCTTGATCGTGATTTCGTTCGCCAGCCGTTTTCAAAGTAGGCCAGTGGTTCACCGAGGCGTGCGGCATGACGGAGACGACCGCGACGCCGACGCAGTTCATCGCGGTGGGGATCGCGCAGAAGAGTATACAGGAATCGCGCATGGCCAACAAGTAGAGGGTTCGAAACATGTGCTGCCAGGCGCCAACGAGGTACAACCTGGAGCTGAGTCTTTTGAGGTTCCAGCCGTTGCCGGACTACGCTCGCGGGGCGTTTTTGACGTAAACCTACTCAGAGAGGATACCAGTGATGACGGAGTGATCGAGTGCTCGTTGCGAGCACTTTGCCGGGTGCCAGCCTGGCGCCCTCCCGTTGCGTTTCAGGCGGGATCGACCGATCGCCTGGTGGGATGAGAAATAATCCAGGGGAGGCATGCGTCGCTGTCGCGATCGCCAGTTTCACAAGTTTGATCGTCAGATTTTTGCACAGGGCTTGTGATTCCTCGGCGAGCTTCTCTGTTCTAGTTCGGTCTTGCGTTTCAGAATTATATTGATTTCCTGCTGTCTCTCCCAGGGGCCCCGGTATGTTTGGCAATGCGCCAGGTACAGTTTCAAGTGCCATGTGAGAACTCTTTTCTCCGCCCGTGCCAGTGTAAATCCCATCGTATGTATGTTTACGCTTCTTCAAGTTCAGTCCCTGTGCATGTTGTTTAGGATTGATGTGTATCGTTTAGCAGTGTGAATTCGGTATGCTGTTGGCTACTGCCGTTTATGATCGAGGGGCCCCTGCGCCAGGTAACAAACTGCGTCTCTTTTCTTAGGAGGAAAGTATTTACGATAATCCGAGTTTCATGCCATTCCCGAGTAAAGTTAGTCTGCCACCGTCGAAACAACGGAAGACAATACTTACTTCCTTCTACACCAGCACCATCATCACCTTACCCCCGTCTCCCCCCCCTCCTGTCAACTCCTTTCCTGTCCACTCCTCCTCCTTCTCCTCCTCCTCCCCCTCCTCGTCCTCCTTCTCCTCCCTCTCCCTCTCCCTCTCCCTCTCCGTCTCCCCTCATTTCCCCCCCAAGCGTTCAATTGTTCTGTGCCCCCGAGTCGAAGCCACGCTTGCTACAGGTGCTCACCTCCTTCCAGCCCCCGCCTGGCACCGAGAACGTAGACGCGAAGCTGCTGTCCTTCGCTAGGCTGCAGGCACCGCCCCCAGATCTAGACGGCGCGGGTGATCTTTCGCCTCCACCATCATCTCGTCCAGCGCATTACGTTTATGCAAGGCCTTCCAGGGCTTCTCTCCTCCTTGCTCCCCCATCCTTCTTTGTCCCACCAGGCCCGTTGGCTCCTATTCCCCTGTCCCCCGTCCCCCTCCCATTCGTCTTCGTCTTTCTACTTGTCCTCCTGGTCCTCGTCTCCCTCTTCTTCTTCGTTCTCCCCGTCCCCCCCCCACCCTGTCTTCGTCCTCCGTTGTAAGGCGTTGTCCAGTGGCTCCCCGCGTTCCTGCGGTCATTGTTATCCTGTGCTTATCCCGCCACCGTGCCAGCCCAGCATCCTCAATGGCGTATGTTCGAGGGGCTACGGGGGGTCGTCACGTGTGACACCTTGTGCCTTCAGGCTTCGGGCAGCCGCGATGGTGATGGTGATGCTGATGATGGTGTTGATGATGCTGATGATGCTGATGATGATGATGATGATGATGATGATGATGATCATGATGATGCTGCTGCTGATGATACTTATTATTATTAGTATTATTATTATTGTTGTTATTGTTCTTATTGTTTATGGTGATCATGATGATGACTACGATGATGATGGCGATGATAATGATAATGATGCTGCTGATGATGACTTTGACAATGAATATGATGGCTCTGGTAGATTATGGTGATGATGGTGATGGTGATGGTGATGATGATGGTGATCGTGATGGTGATGATCTTGATGATGATAGTGCTGATCATGCTGCGGATGCTGATGATGATGCTGTTGATGATGTTGATAATGACGATGATGAAATTGATGATGCTGATGATGGTGACTATGTTGTTGATGCTGGTGATGCGAGCACACTGGTTGCGTCGACGACGGCGGTAACGATTGCGCTGGGGTCGATGATCACGGTGACGATGTTGACCATGCTGACGATAATGATGAGGATTATGATGATGTTGATGATGATGCTGATTATTATGATGATGCTGGCGATGATGAGCGCGCTGATGGTGATGATGATAGTGATGATGATGATGATGATGATGATGATGATGATGATGATGATGATGATGATGATGATGATGATACTGATTACGATTCTGACCATGCATACGGTGGTGATGATGTTGACGGCGGTAGCGATTGCGCTGATGACGATAATCACGATGACGATGATGACTATGCTAACGGTGATGATCGTGGTGATGATGTTGATGATGTTGATGATGATGATGTTGATATTGTTGATACCCATGATGCTGAGGAATATGCTGATGATGATGATGATGATGATGATGATGGTGGTGGTGATGCTGATGATGCTGATTATGGTAGTGTTGGTGATGCTGATGATGGTGATGGTGATGGCGATGATGATGATGATGATGATGATGATGATGATGATGATGATGATGCTGATGCTGATGATGATGATGATGATGATGATGATGATTGTGATGATGATGATGATGATGATGATGATGATGATGATGATGATGATGATGATGATGGTGATGGTGATGGTGATGGTGATGGTGACGGTGCTGCTGATAGCGATGATGTCCATGCCGAATCTGATGCTGAGGAGGATGATGCTGATGCTGATGACGATGATGCTGCTGATGATAACGATGATGACCATGCCGCCGATGATTCTGATTGTGATGATCTTGATGATGATGGTTATTACGAGGATGACGGTGAGGATGATGATGAAGCTGATAGTGGTGGTGATGCTGCTGGTGATGATGGCGGTGGTGGTGGTGATGGTGGTGATGCTGATGATTACGACGATGATGATGCTGATGATGATGCTGATGCTGATGATGATGCTTCTGATGATGATGGGAGTGCGTGCACAAGAATGGGGTGAGAGAGCGGCTTGTCGTTTGCCAGCATGTCTGTCAGAGCATCTGCAAGCTCCGAAGTCTTTTTGGCTCAAAGGGTTGAGCCTGCGACCTCCGGCCTCGGCATTGGATGGCCGGAGGCCCTCTCCAGAAGCTGTTCCTGCTCCTGGGCCACGAGGCGCTGACCTACTGGCTGCTGCGGGCACCCGAACCCCCCGCGCTGGCCTGCCCGCCGTGCGAGTGCAGGTGCCCGGCGCCGAGGGAGCCGTGGGCCGTGGTGCCGGCGGCCTGCGAAGAGGCGGACCCGCAGTGGGGGGCGCTGCCTCAGGCCTTCGGCGCCGGCCTGGCGGGCCAGCTTGCGGGGCGGCTCGCCTGGGGTTGCGGCTGCTGGGCTGGGCCCTCTCGTGCTGCTCGTGCTGCAGGCGCCATGGCGATCGCCCCGCACGCCGTCGTGGACTCGGAGTTCTGGAAGACGCTGATGCTGGGGGCCCGACTACTGGTGTGGTACGGCGACGACAGCGTGTGGCGTGAGAGACTGGCGGTGTGGCCAGTCCAGGGTGCTCAGTGGGTGCTGCAGACACCCGACAAGGACGTGTATGCGGAGTACCTGGGCGGGTCAGACCCCGACGGCCTCGAGCGCGCCATCCCGCTGCTGGTGGACGGCAGGCTGCCCAGGCTCGGCGCTCAGGCGTATCGCTTCAAGGAGGCTCCGACGCGCGACGAGCTCAAGGCGGTGATCCGTCAGGGCCACGCGGAGGCGGAGGAGATCGTCCGCTCCGCAGGCCTGGAGCTCCGGCGGCCCGAGCAGGTGATGGTGAAGTTCGGTGAGGTGACCACGCTGGACGACCTCTTCGGCGGCAGCTTTCTCCCGCGACGACGAGCTCGTCTTCCCGCTGTCGCCGACACGGGGACGGCAGGAGACTCGGTCGGGGAGGTCTTCCCAGCGCGCGGGCCTGGGCCCGCCATCGCAGGCCATGTCTGGGTGCTGGCAGAGCCCTCCGCCATCGGACCCGTGGGCAGCGAGGTCAAGCTTGAGGCCGATGCCGTGCGAGTCGACAAGAACGACGCCCTGGTGACCCGCGGAGAGTTCGGAGGGTCACCTGCATTCGGACGGACCTCCTGGAGAGGTTCATCGCCGACTGGTGTGGGATGGCGCGTGCGGAGCTGCTGGTCACGGGCGAGGCCCAGCCGGAGGCGAGCCGTGCGCAGACCATCCTGGGCGCGGATCCAGGCCAGGCGGCCTCGCCAGCGGCAGCCGCTGACAGCGGGGACGCCCGTGCGCTCTGGTTGAACTGCGACGAGCTGGGGACCAGGTACAAGGATTTCCGCAAGTGCCGCCAGGAGTCGCGCAGCCTCGTGGACCCAGACTTCCCGCTGCAGGGGCCCTCCACGGTGCATGCCGCCATGCGCCGCATGGAGCGCCACGGGGGCAATCCAGGCCTCTGGCTGGCCATCTGGGCACGAGAGCGCCGCGTTGAGGACTCGGGCCGCGTGATGCATGAGATGCGGTGCCTGATCGACATCCTCTTCCTGGGTGCGACCTACGACCATGTTAACCTCCCAGCGCTGGCCAGCATGGAGGTGGCCGTGCGCCGGGTGCAGACCATCGTCGACGCGTGCCAGGTCGCTGGCAAGGCCCCGATTTGGCAGCTCGCCCGCTACTTTGCAGGCGCGTCCTCGGCGGTCGGTGCGATCGCACCAGAGATGAGGCAGTACGTGGCCAAGAAGGCGAAGGAGGACGCCGACATCGCCGCGGGGGCCCAGCGGGCGCGGACGCCCCAGGCTGGCTCCGGCGAAGAGGAGACCCCCGAGGGGGGGGCAGGAGGCGGAGGTCGGGGGAGAGGCGGCCGTGGCCGCGGCGGCGGCGCCGGTGGCCGCGGCCGCGGCAGTGGCGCCCCCCGGGCGCCCAATGACGACCCTTGGGCACGGCGGGGGGAGTGGGCCCCCCCCCGCCGAGACGTGTCGGCCCATGTCGGCCGCCCTTCCGCAGGGGCGGGGCTCGCGCCTGCCCTTCCCGACCCCCTTGGTGGCGGAGGGGCTTGGCGGCCGACGTCGTCGTGAGTGACGGGGACCTCGTGGCCATCGGCGCACCTTTGTCGTCGTCAATCGGGCGATCAGGGCGCTCAATTGGCTGGAAGGCCTGGAGAGCAGCACTTTCTTGCATCGGTGCGACTTCACCGGCATGCACAACGAGGTAGTGGCGCGCATCAAGGGCCTGGTCAGATCCCAGGAGCCGGTTGCTGACGCACCCTCGCTGAGACCGTCCTTCTTGCAGATGATCCGTGGCGTCCCTCTGTGCGAGGAGTGCCAGTCGAACATTGCCCCCTTCCAGTTGCGCCTTGTCTCTTTGCCGGCCGACGTCTCCACGGCGCCGTTCGTGGGCGACCTCGTCGACCAGCAGGGGCGCCTCTTCCTGGGGGGTTGTGGAGAGCGCATGCTACGAGACACCGGCGAGTTTGAGAGCTTGCGGCGGCGCGACCCGGTCAAGCCGTACTCAGATCCCCGCCTGGCGCGGTCGCGCTGGCAGTGCCTTCGGTTCGTTCGCCGTCTGCGCGGCATCGGCATGCCCCGGTATGCCACGCGGCCGATCGACTTCATTGGATCCTTCTTCGTCTGGAAGAAGGGCAGGACCAAGCAGAGATTGATCCTGGATGGGCGAGCCGCCAACTAGCGGTTCGCCCAGCCTCCTCACGTGGACCTACTGACCGCGGAGGGCCTCTCGAACATCGAGGTCTACGTCGACGAGGGCCCTGAGCTGGCCACCGACCTGGGCCGAGGTGCTCTTCGGGCGCTCCGAGTTGCCCTAGGCGTGGCCGACGTGGAGAACTGCTTCCACCGCATGATCATGCCGCCGTGGATGAGCGCTTTTTTCTGTTGCGAGCCAGTGTCCGCCGCCGAGGTCGACCCCTCGGGCCTTCCGCTCGTCGAGGGCGATCGGGCTTTCGGCGACACTCAGGTGTGGCCGGCCGCGCGCCCTCCTCCCATGGGGTTCGCATGGGGCCTCTACTCCTGCCAGAGCGCCAACGCCGGACTCTCCGGCAGCGCGCCCCTTCTTCGCCGCGCCCGCTTGCTGTCCGACCGCGGAGGCTGGGCGGTCCTTGCGACTGGAGACCCCGAGACGGACCTCTGGCGATACGT